TGGTTTTAGAATTTACTTTTGTGATATAGCATCCCTATACTTCTAACACACAGTTAACCCTCATCAAGATTGGTTTTTCCCTAAGTTCCTTTTCATTTTGTTTACCATCATGCAGCATTTTGTGGCCTCCACCGTTTCTATGTTGCCATGTGCCTATTCTATATCACTTCTTCAGTGTTTCTCTCCAGCCAAAATCTTTCCTAGTGCCAACTGCGAGAATGTTTGCTAGCAGACAGAATGCAGGATACCTATGATTATTTAGTAATGCAGAAACCTGAAATTCTTTCCGAAAAAAAATCAACCAATCCTTCCATCATCCCTTCCTTTAAATCGCTGATTTGGAACAGAAGAAAGACATGAAGAAAATTATGTAAGATAACATATCAGAAACAAGACATGGCTTGCAATATTTTTCCAAAGGCACTACATTAAAACATAAAGCACAACACTAATTCCCAAGTTGGATAAGATAAAACCTGGCAATCATGCTTAGTAGTCATGTGACCTTGCACACATTGGACAGTTAGTTCCACTTGTTAAAACAGGAAAAGAGACATAAGATATAGAGTAGCTTAGAAGACAGCTTGGTGACATTTAATCTCTGCAACATGTGACTATGTTTGCTTACAGGACAAATGGGGTTTTTTCTCAATGTAATTAATTCCAGGAGATTATTCTGGATTATTCTGGTGATCCTGATGTAATTAAAGAGATTGTCAAAGGAGGTATGAGGGCTGGAGTCGAAGAAGAAAGAATCTGAATCACCAGATTTAGAAGAGATGAGAGAGACTGAGTAGAAGACTATTCCTGCAGGATTTGAGTGTGGAGGGAGTATGTAACTTCCTCTAGAAGTCTGAAGAGGCAAGAAGAATTCTGCTCTTCAAGCCTGCAAAAGCAGCCTTTGTAGCACAGTTGGACTTCTAACCCTTAAAAGCAATGTGATTATAATTTTTTTTGTTGGTCATGGGGCTTGAACTCTGGGCCTGGGCGCTGTCCCTCAGCTCTTCAGCTCAAAGCTAGTGCTCTACCACTTGAGCCACAGCATCACTTCTGGTTTTCTGGAGGTTTATTGGAGATAAAGGTCTCACGGACTGTCCTGTCTGAGCTGGCTTTGAATCATAATCCTCAGATATCAGTCTCCTGAGTAGCTAGGATTACAGGTGTGAGCCACCAGCACCCAGCTCTATTTTGTTTTAACCCATCAAGTTTGATGTAGTTTTTCATAGTAGCAATAGGAATCTGATGCAACAGTATTCCTAAAAGTACTAAACAGCTTGCCTGCCATTTTATGAAAACTGAAAGAAATATTAGCCACTTCTCTCTTTTCCTTCATGGAAAATAACTGAATACTTATAGTACATACATAGAATGATTCCACAAATACTTAAGGTAGCAATGCAAATGAGTGGTGCAATGCTACTATCTGCTAGTACAGTGGGAAAGAGGTGAGCACACTTTATGCTTTTCAGCCATGGTCACACTGGGATCACATGCTTGTTTCAGCGAGAGGAAAACAATTTTTCACTCAAAAACCAAAAGGAAGTTTGGTTCAGTGAACTCCCACTGAAGCGCAGCGTGCCTTCTATTGGAACGCGTTCCATCTTCAATCTTCAGGTAGTTTCCTGTTAAGGGAAACCATGTGAACACTCTTTAAACTTCTTTAAAATGGAGACACCATTCAAATGAAAGAAGATTTGCACTCTCCCTAAAAAAAGGCAAACCAGCTTTTACTCCTACGGAGCCAACATTAATTTCAACTTGCCACAGCAGTTAGGAGACAAGGTTCTTGTTTTGCTCTGAATCCAGCTCTCATCCAATTCCTGAGAGCCTACTGCCTACTCCAGAGAAATGCTCTTTTCTTAGGTCCAATAAAGAGCCATCTGTAATGCTGTGAGCAGCTCAGGAAAAAGCTGCAGGTTTCCTGCAGATGTGAAACATAAAACAAACAAACCACACACACACATCAACCATAAACTAAAAACTGAGCACAAGAAACACCTCCAGCTTGCCATCATGGCCTTGGTTCTAATGCACACATTCCTTTCCCTACCTAATAAAAACAATCCCATTGTCACTGTTCCTACAGGAGAGCACTTTTAGGGGGAGAATGCCACCCTGAGAAAAGCCATAAGGACCATTTTTATGTTTCATTTTCTCCTCCCCACCCCCCACACCTTGTATACAAATAGCCACTCTATTCAAACATTAATTGCAATACCTAGAAATTTTTCTCATTTGCACCTAGGAAAAGTACTACAAAATTTGAAAAAAGAAAGAAAGACAGACAGACAGACTAGAGAGTTGAGCAATTGTGGAAGGATTTAGGAATCACAGACCCTTCTCAAGATATCCACTGTTTATATCTCCCTTCGGTGCTGAAGAGGGCCGGTTTCTGGAGCTCCTCTGCTCCTTGATTTTTCTCCAAGGACCAAGAGAAAGGGAAAACAAAGCTGGGGAAGAAGGCCAAGAACTATTCAAGATGGTGGCTTCTCACCCTCTTGGGAGTATCAGCTTGTCTGAGGCAATCTCCATCATGTAACGCTGAGCCAGACAACATAGGCACACAAAGACTGACATGATTTTCTGGCTACTCAGCACATAGCCTCCCGCATGAAGGACCGCACAGGACTCCACCGTTTGCTAGAGTGACTGTGGATGAAGCAGTAAAGGTTGTTTGAACAGAGGAGGAAGAATTGACCTGGACCAAGCAAAAGCAGGCATGGGATCCAGCCCTCGATGACTATAGCCTGGCTGACACAGGAAGGCTCCGTGAAGACTGAGTAGATTGCCCTTGCCGATTCTTGTTTCCTAAAATCTACCAAATTGCATCTTAATGGTTTTTTAGCTGAGATAATTTCATGTTTCTACTTGGTTGCATGCTGTTCTGAAAAAGCACATTTATTTTCATTCTAGGAGATACTTTCTGAAACCTCTGTGGATGCGGACTGCTGAGGTGTCAATTCTATTCTGTTAAACATCTCAGACTTGAGTTTTTTCTTCCAAGTTTTCCTTGTGTCTTCCTTTGTTTGAAAAATAGTTATCTTCTCTATTTTTGTAAGAACTAATAAATATGTCAGGCACCAGTGGTTCAGGCCTGTAATCCTAGCAACTCAGGAGCTGAGATCTGAGGATCATGGTTCAAAACCAGCTTAGGGGAAAAAATATGTGATATTTTTTTATCTCTAACTAGCCATCACAAAGCCTGAAGTGAAGCTGTGGCTCAAGTACTAGCACATCAGATTTGAGCAAAAAAGCTCAGAGACAGTACCCAGGCACTGAGTTCAAGCCCTAAGACTGGCACATACACAAACACATGTACACACACATGCATACACACAGACACCACACAAACCACCCCACATCAAAGAAAACTAGCAAATGGTAAATGCATATGTTTGTGGGCATTCCCCTGAGCTGACCACGCGGATCCTCAGTTGCTACCTGCTTTCCCTCCATCAAGCCTCTTCAGAGAAACAGGATGGGTTGTTCAGTCAGTAGCCTTAAGTAAGAGCTTTTGTCAAAGCTCTTACTGCAAACATTAAGGTATATAATCTGTTTGCTTGTAATTCTAGTTTCATGTAGCCCTGATCCTATTCTGAAAAGAAAAATCCAGAGGTGATGGGAAAGGACCAACAAGCTCCATTTTTTTGAGAAAGAAAATATCTTTTCTAAAACATATCAACTCTAAGAGTACAGTGACACCAATAGCAAACATGTGCTACTTTCTGAGGCAGGGGAATTTTCTAGAACCCAGATATAGTGCCTGAAGAAAAACTAGATGCCGCTTCTACGTTAATAGCTGTCTACAGCTCTTAATATTATATCCAGTAATATATATAAAATTTATGTATATAAATACTTATGTACATATGTTACCATGTAATTTTTAAAAAGAATCCACGATGATTTTCAATACCAGTGAGAAAACAATGCCCATTGGCATACTGCAATGCCTAGAACCATGTTATTCACAAATGTTGCCTCAGCAAACATTTGCTAACCTGAACAAAGGACTATCCCTGCTTTCCAAAAGACAACTTGACTACTACTCATCAGTCCACACATAATAGTCCACTGCCAACGTGCAAAGGTTATTTTTTCACTCTCATCACCAAAACTCATTCTGATGAAATTTTATGGAATAGCTTAATTCAATGCAACTTAACAGAATCGTTAAGCATCTGCTATTTGCCAAGTACTGCTGACAGAAAAGGTCCTCTGACAATGGCTCATAGAGAAGAGGAACAGAGGTCACAGACTGCTGTACGAATTGTCACCTTCACACAGCAGGTTCTCAGTGACAAATGAATCCATGAACTCATGGCACACAGCACATCTCATGACCTTTACTGCAGCCAAGTGCATCAGCCGCAAGCCCTCCCTAGCACATCCGTTCTGCTGCCTTCCGCTGCTCTTGACAACCACATTTTCCTCTACACACCTCCTACCTGTCCAGTGTAATACCTTCTTCATCACCATCATTGTATTTTCCCAATGCACCTTTCTACGCACCATCCTCAAATATCTCCCAACCACATCAACTGACGATCCCAGCCACAGCTTCTCATCATTGACCTGTGTAGACGAGGGGTGGGCAACACACACTGCTAGGTGGGAGAGGCTCACTCGGGTTTCTACAAGGAAGACTCTTGCCACAAATACCAAGCAGGTCCTGGTGCCCCAAGGAGGCTCAGTGATGGTCACGTCATTTCTGCCAGGTGCTTGGGGAGAGCAGCAGGTGTTGCGGCTGTCTGCAGGTGCGTGATCCTAAGTCTCTGGGGCTGAAGGCCACATGGAGAACATATCCCTTAGCTTATTTTTTGTCACAACTCCCAAGGGACAGAGCTCAGGGCTTTGCCTGGACAGAAAGCATCTCTTCTTTCTTTTGGGAGCTCATGAGTGAGTGAACTCCATATTCAGCCTTGAGATTACCACTATTTCAGTAATACCTAAAACAAGGTGGACAGAGGATGGAAAAACAAACCACCGCCGTACTTTACCTGCTGCCGTTTTTCAAATTCCAGCTTGATCCGGGACTTGATGCAATTGCACGTGTCCTGATATGTCTGCTGCAGAGCAAACTCCATGAGGTGCTTGTGGTAGGCTCCGGCCAGGTTCCCACAGATGAAAATGATCACATTGGCCAGGATCTAAAGAGACAGACAAAAGGAGCTGCTCAGTGCGGTGAACTCAGGTGAGGACAAAAGGAACGTGCCTGTTAGCTTAAGAATTCAAAAACAATGGCAGGAGGTTAATGATACTTCTGTTTCCCAGCTGACACTCTTAATGACATAATGGAGAGCATCAATTTTCATTTGGGATTTGATCCTCTTCCTGGCAATTTGGGTCCTCCCTCCCTCGTCTGGGCAGTATTTTCTTTGTATTTGTATTTGTATTGTATTTGTATTTGTATTGGCTAATACAATATGGACATCCCCCTACCCAGCGTAGGGGGATGGTATGTTTAATACCACTCTGTTGTGGGTGGGGAAAAGTCTATGCTATACCATGTTCCAGTAGACCCAGAATGACCTACATGGAGCAGAGCTCCCCTGGCCCATCTGCCATCTACCACAGTAATGACATGGTGGTCACCACAACACGACTGCTAAGACTTGATACATTCATGCTGCTTTCTCACCAGAATGGCATTCACTGAGCCCTTTGTTTATCAGGGAGTAAGGTAGCCTTTCAATTTCCTTTCAGGACATATGACTTAACTATTCTTTTGAAGACAAAATCAAGTCATGTTCACCATCATATGAAAAGCAAACAAAAAGTACAAGGAGAATATGAAATCACAACCCTAGGAAGAACGCTGCATCCACTGGGCCCTGTCTACCCAGCTCACGCCTGCGTTCTCAACACCGGTGCCAAACTTGATTCTGTCAAGACCCTGGTCTCCTCGTGTTCTAAAATGCCAGAGCTCATTTCAATCATGGTTTGGGGTTTTTCTATTTTTAACTTAATAGTGAATCAAAAATATTTTAAGAATCCAGAAAAGATGTAGAAATAGGACTCTGAATGTTCAGATGATGTCGAGTCTATCACACTCATCAATCAGCTATGTAGATATGATGCGATACTACTTTTATCAGGTTAATATTTGGTTCATTTATATTATGTTATATTATCTACCTCACATACAATGCTTCACCTCCATATTTAAGCATTTCTCTAGACTATACTATCTATTATATATGGATTCCAAAGTCACACATATTTCAAGGGTGATCCTCCTCATATGATATGTTCTCAGCTTATCTGTGTTAGGAAAGACCTTCATCTGGCTATGGGGACGAATCAGCTGATCTCGGAGGAATGCTAGCAAGACCATTTATCCCTTGTCTGTCTTCTCCAGGCAGTTGTGACGGGAATGAGGAGGAAATTTTTCTCTCCATCTGCACAGTGTCTTGGGTTATCTCTTCATGCATTCTACCCAGAGGAAGAAATGAGATATTGATTTTGATCCCTTTCAAGCTCTTAGAAATATATTTGAGGATGGAGGGAAAGGCAGGATTGAGTTACAAATGAGAAGAGTGAGTTTCTTTCTCGATCAATTCAGAGAAGCGAGGAAGCCATGGTGCAGATGAATGAGCCCCCAGCCCCACCCTGCCTAATTCACCTTTCCAAGGATATTTGGGTGGAGAAGCTCTACAATCCTACATTCTCACAGCTTTCTACAAAATGTTCTCCTCTCCTCTGTACCAGTGTTTTACCACCCCTCCACTAGTTTAGGTGACTACACTTTTTTCTTCTGTTTTTTTAAAAAGTTTTATCACTAAAGGTGATGTACAGAGGGGTTACAATTACACAAGTAAGGTAATGAGTACATTTCTTCTTGAACAGTGTTACCCTCTCCCTCATTTTCTACCACTTTCCTCTCCCTGAGCCCCCTCCCCCCGAAGTTGTAAAGTTCATTTCCACCATGGTGTCTAGTGAGTATCACTGTAGAACTGGTTCACCCTTTGTCCCACCCTTTCTGTTATTCCCCTTTCCTTCCACAAATCAGATAAACGTATACACAAGACAAAGGGTACAGAAATAAAAAACAGTGACACCAGGGAATATAGCAAAGGAGAAAAAAAGAAAGAAAAAGGAAATAGCTATGTTTCCATCAGAAAGAATGACAATGTCCCATTTATAAGGCAATGGAGAGACTTGGAAAAAATATATTAAGGGAAGTGAGCCAGACCCAAAGAAACACAGGCTCATTTGTACTAACTAGAATATGTCTATAAGTCTACAACTTAATCCAAAAGACAAATAATTACATTTAGGCATGATTAATTAAACAGCACTATAAGCATTTGCACACTGAGAACAATGGAGGATATTCTTTTTTTTTGGGGGGGGG